TTAGCTTGTTAGAGTACAAACGTACAATAAAGGTCTTTCATTCATTATTGTGGTTGCAACAGCAGCAGTATGCAGACGTGCCGCATGACGTGCCGAGCTGCTGCAGTCGGTATCCTCGGCCTCCTGTGGGTCGTCACGGCTGTCTTCACCTGCCCGGAGAGATGTGATTGTGACTCTTTCGGGCGAGTTACCTGTGAACGCCTGGGGCTAAAATACGTTCCCGAGAACATACCATTTAATACAGTTTCGATCGTCTTGAGCTTCAACAGCATACAGAATCTGTCTGATGCGGATTTCGCTAACCTCACCCGCCTGTATGAGCTTCATCTTCCCAGCAACGGTATCCGCGTTCTCCATGGCGGAGTCTTCTCACATCTCAAACATCTGGTGGTACTGGATCTAGGTGGTAATCATATAGCCGATCTCCCGGATGGAATATTCGCAAATCTGACCAGTTTGTTTTATCTCTTCCTGTCCAACAATAACATCTCGAGTTTCCCCGCTGGAGTTTTCTCACATCTCACCCGTCTGAAGTGGCTGTATCTATCTGATAATCATATAGCTGATTTTCCACAGGAAATATCCTCACATCTCACCCGTCTGGAGCGGCTGGATCTATCTGGTAATCATATAGCTGATCTCCCGGATGGAGTATTATCACATCTGACCAGTTTGGGACAGCTTTTGCTGTCCAACAATAGCATCTCGAGTCTCCCCGCCGGAGTTTTCTCACATCTCACCGATCTTTTAACGCTTGATCTACGTAGTAACCAAATAGCTGATCTGCCGGATGGGGTATTCTCAAATCTGAACAGCTTGAAACAGCTTTTCTTGTCCAACAATAGCATCTCGGTCGTACCTACTGGAGTTTTTGCAAGGCTTAGGAACCTGAGAGAGTTGTATTTAAGGCACAATGATATACAGAATCTGACCGTGGAGATTTTCTCAACGCAAACTACCCTTAAAACCGTGGATCTGTCTGACAATCAGATTGACATTTTCTCAGCCACAGTTTTCTCCAACCTTGCCAGTCTTACCAAGTTGCATCTGTCGAGAAACAACATACATACTCTGCCCACAGACATCAAACGCCTTCCTCACATGACTAGCCTTTTCATAGCTGGGAACCCCTGGAGGTGTGACTGTAGTTTACAGGATATAATGAGTTCGGTGGGTGTGCGCGGTTCAATTCGCGATGACCCTACCTGCAGCTCCCCTCCCCACATGGAAGGCCACGTTTTGACCGACGTTGTGTCAGGCAAGATTTGTAACGGCCGCGGAGACTGCACAACTCGAAATGCAGAGGACACTTGTGCTTGCGGCGTCGGCTGGGCTGGTCTCTACTGTGACAGAGGTAATGTGTCAGTATTTACACAAGGAATCATTACTCAAGCAACTGGATAGGATTGAAAACGCTTAGACGTTTCAAGCATATCCACTGATTTTTGTCAAAACCTATCCAGTTGCTTGAGTATCATTTCCTACTTTTCGTCAAAACCTACCTATCAATTTGCTTGAGTAACTGCTTTCTTGTGTATCATATGAAATGGATGTCTAACCTTCGATTTTTTTTTACATTCTTAGGCTATATCTATTTCAAAAAGCTGCCAAAAAACCGGCAATAGCCTAGAAGCATCCATAAGAGCTAGTACAAAGTGAAATAGCTTCCAGCCTTTTCTTCCTGTAGAAACATAATATTATTTCATGACTTTTTAAAGTTTACTTTGTTATTATTACTTGCAGAAGTTAATGTGGCCATTGGAAAGAACGCATCACAGAGTTCCACTGTACAGCCATTTCGAGGAGCTGAAAAAGCCGTGGATAATAATGACACTGAGTGCGCTGCCACAAGTTGGGAAGATCAGCCATGGTGGAAGGTGGATCTTGGAGGTTTTTATAAAGTCAGCCGGGTCAGAGTGCTGGGTGGCTCCGCCTCTCTGACTGGTAAGTCGTTTCTGCATGCAAGGTTGCAGTTACATGTTGTAATTGTACATGTACATGTACTTCTAGCGCTAATGCCAATGCCATATATTTTGCTGACATATTTTACAGGGCATTTGGAAAAAGCAGGAGATGTAATGGTGTGGGTTGGTCCGAACGAGAACTTCACCCAAAACGATCAGTGTGGACAGGCGTACATGCCTGTGGGCCGGACACGGACTTTTCGACGCGAGGTGGTGTACTGCAACCCGCCGGTATTCGGGCGTTATGTGTCGGTGCAGGCACTGCAACAGGACAGCACCAACGGTAGCATCGTTTTGGTACTGTGCGAGGTGGAGGTCTATGTTTCAGGTAAAATATTTAGATGTTTACCTTCGACAAGAAAGTTATGATTTTGGTGGTTTCGCGCAACAACGTTGGAGCGCGAAACCTTCTCTCCACGGCAAAAACTCCCTCGGCAGCAAAATCGTCCCTCGCCTTCTCCCCTTTCCTTTTCTTGGGCTAGGGGGTGGTCTACTAGGGGCCAATATTTAGGCTAGTTTCTTTCAGCCCGTTGGAAACCATATCCGTTTTTGTTGCTTTTGTTTAAAAAAAATACCAGTTTGTTATGTTTACCTTCTTCCTCCGTTCCAAAAACACAAGGCCAATAACCTAGATCAGACGGCTGTCTCCATGGTAATTGGTGCTGTCGCCAACACCCTGTGGTGTTGGATTACATTAACTTGCCAATCTTGGAATAGTCTCACCTTTTTATATAGTTTTGCTTCTTTTTTTCATCTTAAGATATCTGCTGTGACGCTACCATCGCCCTCCTGAACGGCCAGATCACCGCTACTGGAGACAGCTTCTGCTCTGGGAACGACATCCAGTTCTCTTGTGACCCTGGGTACGAGCTTGTCGGCAGATCTTTGCCCGCCTGCCAAACGAACGGGAGTTGGAGCGGAGAAATTCCGACTTGCCAAAGTAAGATACATGTACCAACCATTATCTATTCTATCTAACTTTACCGTCATTATTCGTTCGGTTGTCTAAAATATACTTGATAATTACCATGATCATCATTATCATTGGGCGGCTGCAGAACGAGATATTCCGACATGCCAACGTGAGTTGATGAAAATAGAGAGAGAGAGAGAGGGGAAGAGAGAGAGAGAGAGAGAGAGAGAGAGAGAGAGAGAGAGAGAGAGAGAGAGAGAGAGAGAGAGATGGAAAGCTTCCACAAGAGAGCAGTGCTTAAAGGATTGAAAAATCAGTTTAATGTATACCACATAGGGGATTATGGTATACGTAGACAAGTCATAAGGCTGATTGAATCGCCGAGTGAGCGGTAGCGTACGAGACGGTTTCAGAGGCGGTTATAGGAAATGGCCAGGCCTTATGACACCATGTACACCGAGGAATAGGCGGGTCATTAACGTTATTATCATTGGTTCAGTGGTTGATGGGATTTAATCACCACTAGGTTGGTTATGGCGTCATAACCAATAGGAAACGGTAACCTCTGGTTGGTCAATGCCATTGGCTATATATATATAACAAAGTATAATATCCCAATCATTGAAAAAAAAAAAACCTTCTCATCACTAGCACCAGTAGTACTACATAGCATTGCCGTTCTAGTGTCAGGAAACAATTTGAAAACAAAAGTTTCTGATAGAACACACAATACCTACAGAGGAAAGCCGCACGTCCACTGGAGCCATTATCGGCGGAACCGTTGCCGGTATCGCCGCAGCGCTGATTGTGGCAGCTGTCGTCTTCATGGTCTGCCTAAGACGAAGGAGGAAGAGAAGAAGGGAACAAGACAGTCCGCAATCGATGGCTCACAGTGAGTGGGATTTCTCTTGGTTATGAATATGTATTAATTTTTTTACCAACGTTTATTGTAAGAGTAAGCCATAAGTCTGTATCTGTATCTGTATAGCCGGTATAACCGCCTTTCGGCGTAACACACCAGCTTCGCAGGCACGCGGCGCGGCGGCAGCTGACTATATTACACCGATAGACTTGTTACACCTAACCCTTGAACTTCTAGCTCTAGACATTGTTTAAAGCTATCTATTGACAGTGCCCCTACTGTACTTGGTGACAGTGAGTTCCACTCTGCGATAGTTCTAGGAAAGAATGAATTCTTGAACACCTCAATCCTTGGTTGATAACTCTGGTACTTGAATGCGTGGCTATTTCTTGTTCTCTTCTGGGCTGGTATTAGGTACTTAGTAGTTGGGACATCCACCAGTTTATTAGTCATTTTGTACATCATGCATAGTCTAGACATCTTTCTTCTGTCTTCAAGTGAGGTCCACTTGAAGTCAACACTGAGATTTGACCCCGGTTGCTTTTATATTGTTTTGTAATTGCCATATTTCACCTTTAGGTGTTTATGCCGTTTTTTTTCAGAAACCAGTTTTATACCACGCAGATGTATGTTTGTGGGCACTGATCTCCTTTTTTTAATAACAGATACCCACAGTTCGCGAGGTCTTCATTTTATAGTAAGTCGTGTAAAATCTCACAAAGATGCAATGTAAGTAAAGGGAATTTAAAAAATAAATAAACAAAAAGCGAACAGTAGATTTTTTACTCAGACAGGCAAATTTCTTTCTCCCATGCTCTTGTACAGTCAACAGAAGGGGCAGGGAGGAGGCGATCCCGCTGGTTCCACCCCGGCCGCAGTTCCCGCGGTTCGAGACCGACCCCGGCCGGGTGACGCTTGGCGAGAGGATCGGCCGCGGGGCGTTCGGCTTAGTCTACCGGGCAACCCTGACGCGGAACGGCAAGACGGAGGACGTCGTCGTCAAGACTGTTAAAGGTTTGGTGTTTTATAGTTATATATGATAATGCAGACGTTTTAAACCAGATTTCAACGACATTTTCATCGAGAATTTTAGGAGGTATAAACGTTACTGGATGGGAAGTTTGTTTTTTGAGATCTACATAAAAAAAGAGCATAGAGACCTGTTTTCGAGAAATATCAGCAAAATAAAAAAATGTGTATTTTCAAAGCTTTAAGTTTTTTCAAACGCCCCATGTATAAGCCTTCAGCTCATAACTAAAGGTGGATGTTATCTGATTCACCTTGATTTTCTACAGTTTTCCATGTATGATACATTTCTGAAAACTTTGCTCCATCCACAGAACACGCCAGTGAGGACGACAAACTGAGTTTCCTGGAGGAAATCCGTGCAGTTGTGGACCTGGGGGTTCATAAGAACCTGTTGGGTCTGGTCGGCTGCAGCACGGTGGTGGAAGACCATCTGTATCTCATCACGGAGTTCATGCCGTACGGAGACCTGAAGAGCTTCCTGAGAAAATGCAGGGAGGTACATGAGAAACAGTATTGTTTTCTCCTAGAGGCAGTAAGTACGTTGGTAGTTAGGAATGTAAAAGTCTTTCCTACATTTGAAGGTCATTTAAGAATGTGGAGGATGTGCTGTTAGCTCCCAATCGGATGCAAAATTTGAGCGTCGTTCTGGAATTAAGTACAGATCTGTACTAATTCGCAGGACTTATTGAACCTTTTAAGTTCCTCACTGTACTTTTAAATGCATATTGATAGGAAAAAATAAGGTAAATGATTGCATTTTTTCAACTATATTTCTCGATTCTACAGGAAGAGCCCTCTGACGAACCTCGAGACGATATCTACACCTTTGAGGTGATACAGATGTACCAGGTGGCCCGGCAGATCGCTAGAGGCATGGTGAGTACAGGTACCAGGTGCTGCAGAGGCACGTGTAGTAGGTGTTGCAGGTGTACAATGTACTGCAAATGTACCACGTGCTGTATATTCTAGATGCTAGCTATTGATTTATTTATTTCACCATAAGACGGCTGGGTAGCCCCATTCAGCTTTAATACATTAGCTGTTTTCCAAGGGGGCCAAGCAAAATTACACAAGACATTGTTACATACAGTATACGTAAGACAAGAGTGGACAACATACAGTAAACATAAAAGTCCGATGCGTCGAAACAGAGTCATAGTCCTATACTCAAAGTCCAAGCTGTTCAAGGTAAAAAAAAAAGCGATTGGCCAGGTGCTGCAAATGCACACGGTGCTGCAGATGTTCCATTTACTTATTAATAAAAAATTAGGTGCTACAAATGTACCATGTGCAACAGATGCACCAGGTGACACCATGTACTAGATGCTACCCATAGAAATATGAGAGTCGACATCATTTTCACATTTGGATTACGATATAAAATGCATAAAATAGTTCCGATCCAAACGTCATTATTATAGTATAATTGCAGCTCAATGTTGTTGGATTTCAGGCTAAAATAAATTTTGTGTGGACGTGTATGTTTCAGGATCACATCGCCCGGTCTCGTTACGTCCACGGAGACCTGGCCGCTCGGAACGTGCTGGTCGGAAAACGCCTGCACGTGAAGATTTCTGACTTCGGGCTGGCAGAAGACATCTACAGCCGAGGTTACCGTCGGCAGGACCGGCTCCAGAGGGTGCCATGGAAGTGGATGGCGCCGGAGCGGCTGGAGAGTGGAGAGGCTTACACCACACAGAGCGATGTGTGAGTGGTCTTATCATAATATCTGCAGTTAACTATGATAACTAATCTCTAATTCTAACCTTACACAGAGCGCAGTGTGAGTAGTTTTATCATAATATCTTCAGTAATAATAACCAATCTGTAACTCTAACCTTACACCATACAGAGCGGTGTGTTAGTGAGTCTTATCATACTATCTGCAGTAAACAATGATAACCAATCTTTAAATCTAACCTTACACCACATAGAGCGATGAGTCTTAGCATTATACATGTATCTGAACCAATCCCTAACTCATATTATAACCTTACACTACAGAAAGAGAAGTATAAGTAGTTTTATCAAATATCTGCAGTGTATTACCAATCTTGTTTCTGACCCATATTTGAACATGTCATCTCTTAAAGTTCTCGTGACCTTATAGAAACCTTCTAACAGGTGGTCCTTCGGGATAGTGCTGTACGAGATATGCACGCTAGGGGGCGATCCTTACCCCGGCGTGACAGTATCCGAGCTGAAAGAACGCATACAGGCTGGATTCAGGATGGCGCAACCAGAAGACTGCCCGCGAGCCATGTAAGTCTGCTGGTTTCTGTGATTGCGAGCACTCGGGCAAATTTGATTGATGGTTAGAACCGCATATCAAAGAAATTGGAGTCGTCAAAGTACCCAGGGTCATTTAATTACTCTTTATGTTATTTAGGTCTGCTCACCAACAAACATACATACATAACGTTGTGAGGTAATGAACGTGTGGCACTGTTAGCTCAAATAACTATTCCTCGAAACTGGAACATATATGGTACCGTTGTATCTGATATGCTTTACGTTTTGTGAATAGCAACGAAGTCATATAAGGCAATTAGCTTAATTAAGGGCCTGAAAGTAAGCTTTGGTTCAAATGACGATCGCTAGATGTCGCTTGTGCACAGGTACGATGTGATGCTACAGTGCTGGCGCAGAAAGCCTGCCGAGCGGCCGTCCTTCCAGATGCTGGAACTTACACTGGACAAGCACCTCGCCTTCTACGGACCCGAGTACGTGACGGCAATTTAACCGCCAGTGCGACACCCTGGTATATATTAGGGCCATGTTGATTTGATTATATGGATGTCATCATCTGGGAACCCTAAAAGCTGACGCGAGCGTGCGAATAAAAAAAAGTTTGGCCAAAAAAAAAGTGTCCTTCATTATGAAATCTACGTATACGTGGTCAGAAAGGTTGAACAAATTACTAAACACACATGTATGGTACATGCATGGCGAATGACAAGAGACTCTTCATTTTCATTTCTTCACATTATCTTCTTTTCCTGAATAGATTTCGGCATTCTATGACATTATTATCGATTTCCAATCCTTTTTTTTGCAACAGACGACATATTTGTACGATTTACAGTATGGTCGAAAACTATATTTTTTTTGAAACAGACGAAAATTCATGCGCTCGCAGATGTCAACCATACTGAATCAAATCAACATGGCCTAACATGATGTAACAGTACCGACTAGGAGTTTTGAGGAATGAGTACTGTATGGAAGGTCATTTTATTACAATATAAGTTGTTCTGTACATTCTGTGTGTATTCAGGACGTCTGGCTGGTGGATAGTTTGTGAAGCTGGTGTTTGTTTTGGCCTCCTGGCAGTCTGTTTTGGTACTGCAGGAATGTTTTGCTTAGCGTGATTGAAACAAGATAACCAAGAAAAGATTGATAGCATAGCTGGAGAAGTATATACATGTAGTTTAAGTTTGATCTCAATATGCATAACTAAGGAGACATTTGTATATGGTATGATATGTTTATAATCAATGGGAAAATCAACAACCTAGTGATAAATGATGGAAATTTAATTACTGGTGATACAACTAAATTAGGTAAAGGTTAGCATCACATCTTAGACATTATTTGCATGCTTAATAAGGGAATTTTACCTTCTGTTAAAAATTACCAAGTCTTTTAAACTGATCTAGGAGGACAGTATCAATGTACATAGATTGTGTTAAGCAGCAACACAATTGACTTATTATTTACAAAGCATTATATAATAGGTTTTAGATCTTTAAACTATATCATTATTCTAGTAATTATTGTATCAATTTAGCTTTTATATTCAGCTATACAATAGGCTAAATATAACGTTACAGTTGTGACGACTACAAAATGTGCAGAAACACACACACACACAGACTAGTACATATAGTCAAGTGACAAAAATCATCCAGGCAGAGCTAACAGTGTGATCAATTGTTTTATTGTTGAAAAATCAAGTCACATACTTGGCTTGTGCTTGTTAAAAATATCTTTCTGCTTGTTTTTTTCTTCAAGTGAATAACATCTAGTAGTTAAGTCATGCAGGGTTTGGCTTGTAGAAAACATGTAGTATGGGTACAGTACTTCACAAGTGCATGCAGGATTTTGTCTTTTGCTTCTTGGTCCCCTATTCCACAGTAGATGCCAAACCAAAAGAAACGGTAAGCAACACACGAGAAGTCGAAACCTGGTGCAAGTGGCATTTTGACAGGGAATGGCCTCTTTTCTTCACCTCTCAATAATTTCCAAGGATAACCTGTTTTGGCTGGGGAGGATGGTGGCTACCCTCCAAACAGTTTTTGATGGAGTATAGGTGTACATTCAGATCACCTTTGTTTATACACATAAAATATAACCTTGTATCTTTAACTGTTGGTCATTCCATGAAATGCCAGTTGCATCTGGGTGCAGTGTTACAACATATACCCTGATATACATGTGCTCCAACATACATGTAGACGTATACATGTAATCTGATCTATTCATACTGTATCTAATGTGTACCCTTACACACTCATGTATTGTCATACATGTATCTATCATACATGTACACCAATATACATGTCGGTAACATTGGAAATATGTACTTCAACTTTCATGTATTCTGACACACGTCCTCTGATACACATGCTTTACACAAGTCAAAGAAAATGATGGGTATGAATGGAGTAAGGAAGACTCAGTACATTTTTTTGTTACAGTGAGATTGAGAGCTCATGGCACACGTTTGCTAAATTGGAAGTGTTGACTACTTTAACATTCAGCCTACACAGAACTGCCAAACATATGACACATATAGCTTGTCATTGTCATATGGCTTGCCCACATTGAAGCTACAAGTACCATCTGTACATAGTGACCTGAAATAGCTAATGTCATATCCAGAACCGTGGCTATGCCTATTCTATGCCTAAATGGGTTAGGATCAGGCAGGATTCTGGATAATTTATGTGCATCTAAGAATGTAGATTTGCCCCAGGCATGGTTCTGGATACACATGGGCTATCCTGAACCATGTTTGAGCATGGTTCTGGATAAAGCATGGTTCTGGATATACTGTAGTTCACTTTGTATTCAGGGCAGCAAAATTTCATGGTCTGAGGAAAATTGACACAGTGGTGACAAGTGTATGGAGGAGGGGGTGGGGGGGGGCAAGGACAAATGATTTGATAACGGGAATGATAAGTTCACAGTACAGAAGTGAATATAAAAGTAGCATGAAAAAAAGAATTACAGTAAAAGCTTGTACCACCGAACTGGCAACAGACAGGAACCTCGATTCTGTCAATCACGACAAGCCCAAATCTCTGCCCAACGGATGGTACATGAAGGAAACATTCAGCATGTATTTGCACTTCTTTCAATTATGTCAGTCTAATTGCGTCCTTTCTTGTAATGTACTTGTAGTTTTGATACTGAAGTCCTAGGGTCAACCCTCATATAATTCCACCAGGTACCTTGCGACACTCATCATGTTTTTAAAAAAATGCGTCATTGAGGCCTGTCTTGAACAAGCAGGTATCTGACATGTGCGAACCTCTTTAAATTCCTCATTCTTTAAAAATGTGTCAGTCTTAAGGTACCCAGGAGAATTATGACAGCTGGCGTTACATTGGATAGTGTCTTCCTTAGCCCATTCACTACCAAATGACACTTAAAAAATCAAGTCAAGTTCAAAACAGTTGCACAAAATCTTAACATCTATGTAAGTTGTCCAAGCTGAAAGGAACATTCAAACTGGTACATTTTTTTTCATTAATCGTGTTTCTACATAGTATTACATGAATCCTGTGACTCTATTATAATGACTGTGAATTGCACATGAATTACAAAATGGATATCAAGTAACACATCAAAATACAATTTTCATTTGTTCCTATTCTAAGAGAGATATCTTAATCCATTCACATCCAAGCTGCACAAGCATACATGTAAGCCTAACAAGTGAAAAACATTTTAAACTTTGTCGTCTCCCCCATTTTGAATCTCACATTGAGAATGAATAGGTTAAAATGTCATAACAACAATACAAACAAGTTCATATCAATAGCTATCAGCATACGTAACAAACATCATTAATATCTGTTTAACAGAGGAAAAATCACATACATGTAGGCAAGTACTAAATCTTGCTTGAGCCAAAATTTTACAGGAATTCTAACCTACTTATAAGAACCTTTCTATTAGACCATGCAACGTTAAGTGTTGTCAGAGGAGTTAGATTTTAAAATAGAGTGAATAATTTAGAAAACAAGCTCCTTCAGATACTCAAGTTCCAAAGTTGACAAAGCTGCTTTTTTAAGTAAGAAGTAGTAAGAAGAGTGACCAAAAATATCTAGCGATCACACAAAGCCACCCTGGCCTAACTCGTGCCTGGTAAACCAGTGTGCAGTCTGCCCTTTTGGGAGCTTTAGCCAATCAGGTACTCCATATTGCCCAGAAGGATGGAAATGAGACAGAGCAGCTGATTGGTTAAAAGCTGGCCAGGGCTGTAGCTTGATTGGCTAAAAGCTGGTCAGGGCTGTAGCTGATTGGCTAACAGCTGGCCAGGGCTGTAGCTGATTGGCTAACAGCTTTTTGGCTGTAGCTGGAGTACACAGACTGGTTTATCAGGAAAGCTGCTTTGGAAATACAAGCTGGGTCTGGGTTACAAGAGACTGGTACCAAGAAAACAGGCAGTGATTCTATCCATAGACGTGGCTTATCCCATGGGGATAGACAAGGCTATCCTTAAAACATTTGTGTAAGCTTACAAACAGCAAAAAGACAAAACAACAAACAACCATATTCGTTAGCACAGTTTCTCGCTATCAGCATAATGCTGCTGCTGTACACATATAATGTCTTAGGTATGGCTGTTGCAACATTCACAAATCATGACCAAAAAAAAAACAAACCAACAAACACAAAGTAGAGCATAAGTGGAACAGGAATTGCAATTCTCAGAATAAATCGATGTAGGGAATATGAATTGTTTCATTCACACTCACACACACACATATACACTCAAACATATAGACACATATCACTGCATTGGTTGATACATATGGGCACAAAACAATACATTCATTCAAAATACTCACCCACTCATACCAGTAAATTTCTCAACATCCATACACGTATCATAACAAACAACCTCTTGTACACAATACAAGTTGTCCCTTAATTTAGACCTACTTTCAATGATGCCATCAAGTTTTAACATTACCAGAAGAAATTTGTCCACAATATATTACGTTGCCCAATCTCTCGTCACATATGGACTCTTCGTAGGAGAATCCATGGTTACGTTTACAAAAATCTCACTCTGCAAGGAGACTGGGACATAACTACGGTAAGAAAGAACATGCCGTACTAACACTGCCATACAAACTAAGCTGGCTAAAGGGGCACTCCTTTCTTCAGGTGTCCACAAGGAACCTTTAGTTATGTTTCTAGACCATTTTTTTTACAGAAAACATCAAAACACGATGGCTTGAAGGCCATTGATGGCACACCATATATCTAACTCCTCAGAGACAATATTCATCACATTTGGTACTGAATAAATGCTACTTCATTAGGACACAGACTAAGGTCTGCAGTCAGTTCTCCGCAAGGCAAATTATCCGTTAAATGCAACATTGTTTCATATATGAGTAACATTGTATGAGTTCACTGTACAGAAGTATGGACTGTAGCTCGCTGCCTGTCATTCAAAGATTGATAAAGTCCTCTCTGATCACATCAACTGCCCAAACGTACTATGCTAGTGAGAAAAATAAGTAGATACAATGTAATAACTCACAAACATGTGGCATATTAATTATCATACTTAGTCTAGTAATCACAATGCTTGTAGTCTGGGTGTGCTACACAAACTTTCTGGAGAAAGTCAACTGCAAAACTGTAAAACAACACTTTCTCCTCTAAAAAGGCTTAAGTTAAGGCTCTTGAAAAACAGAAAAGCTCACAAGGGTCCCATTTTAGCACAGTGTTATTTGTACAGCTCATAAAAGCACAATTTCAATAAATCATGACGACAAGCATTTCAATGATTATATATATATATAGTATAGAAACGATACAGTCGTACACATACACATCATAATATCTAAACCGACATCACATCCAAACCACTTTCTGCTGCAAATAGCTTCAAATCCCCTTGATATTATTTTTTTTCTACAAGATTTACAGAACTGTGTACATGTGAAGCAGGGGGGGGGGGGGTTGAACGGAGAGGTACTCCTCTTGAGGCTTTGTTGAATGTGTTTGGCAGATCATAAACTTCTCACGATGTTCCACGGGACTACATTCTGGAACCCCTCTCTCGCAACTCCTGTGGGTAAAAGAGGAGACACAAAGATCCATGAAGTACCTCCAACCGTGTGTAGTTACATGTATGTACAATTAGACATGTATAAACCTCAACATTCAAATTTCTATATCTTTGACATGCATCCAAACCCTAAGAAATTGTAGTTTCATACACGCAAGTCTTTAAAGAGAGATATGCTTGTGAAGCGTTAGTGGTACATGTATAACATCACTTAGTCCAGAATTCTCTTCTAAAGGTGCACAAACCAGTTTTTCTGTAACTTTGAGACAGATGCTAGATTTGAGGGTGTGCAGCCTTGAATGGAAACCCAACATAAACTGAGACATGCCCCCTGAATAACGTATGCCAGTGCCCTACAACATGCATGTTAAGCAATACAGATACAAAGACTGGCCACATGTGCGCAGTTACAAACTTACCTTGACTTTCTCGGTGTCTGTCTGTGTCTCTACCACCCCGTTCAATGTGTTGTCGTATTCACGTGACACCACGCACAGAAACTCTGCCTGGTCTTCGTTGCCATAGTTGTACGATGATCCAATGTTGATCAACTAGTGGAAAAAAAAAGAAAAACAAGGGGGAATGTAATGTTAACTGAAGCAAGTTTGAACTGGAATAAAGACAGAGGTCCCACAGACGTTCTGAAACCTACAGTCCACTGCTCACCAAGTCACATATCATTTGCATAACATGACGTCACAAAAGCGGAAGATTGTTTATTCTTTGACAAAGCCTGGAGTTACACAGTGAATAATTATTTTGGTACTACAGTAAGTTCAAATTATCCAACTCAGATAAATGTAACATTTTGTGACTTTGGGTTTCAATACAGTAATACTGGTGTAGTATTAACTGAATATATACAGATGAACAAAAAATATTGTATATGTTTAGGCAGTTTACATTTATACGATCTCAGTTGATTTCCATGTGAAGGTACTGAGACAGACTGCATGATAAAAAGCTCCTGTAACGTGTATATTATTGTACGAAGACTGATTTACATTGTAACTGATAACAGATGCTAGAATGCTCCTAGCCTTACTGCAAAAGGAACACTGAGGAAGTTCCAAAAATTCTTTAAAATCCCTTGGCTTTGGATTCCATCCTAACTATTCACAGAAGGGACTACTTTTCATAACAAGGTAATCTGAAAAGCCATCAGAAATGCGTAGCATCGAGTATCGATACATATGCCAAAATATATTGTACCCAGATCTTATCCAAATGTCATGTAATTTCTCAAAATGGTGAGAGACAGCATTTAGTGTTCGAATGAAAGCTCATCTGTGTTGGTAGAATACATAGTTAAAGAGTTTGACTTGTTCCAACACAATAAGGAGAACTCACCATAAATTTTCGGCTGATCCCGTCAACCTTCGTCAGATTTGTGATGCAGTCGCTGACTTTCCGGAAGTCGGAAACGTGATGACGTCAGGAGTGCATCAAAAGTGGCGGGAAGACGGTATCTCCCACCATCACGGTTCAGAGAGGGTTGGTGGGCCCTGATGTAAACTGCCTCCTTCACGCCTCTCACAAAGGAATCCTGCTCCGTATCTAGAATGCGCACCTTGTCCAATGTAACTGTATGTCCGGGGGACTCGATGTGTATGTG